CACGCTGGTTTTTGTTATCCAAGCACCTCCACTGGCTGCGGAACCAGCATTGATAACACTGTGCATTGAGACACCCCGAGGTTCATTCTACTTTGCCTCCAAGTCTCTTTGCCATTTTCATTTTGAACAACTGCTGTCTGGGATTCAGGCAATCTTTAAAACACTGACGTTTCTCAGAAGATTCTACCCAGCAGCCAGCAACTGAAGATGTAATAAGGGAGCCATGCATCAGGGGTGGTATGTCACGAAGGAGATTTATTAAAATAGCTGATGTATGACCTCTCAGGGACAAGACCTCAGAAGTGAATGCTAAGGAGCAGCTACCTGGTACAGAACATTGCAAGCGGCCCTTGTGATCTTCAGCCCCTGTGATGGAGAGTCTTTAAAACAATGTTGAAGAGGTTTTTGTCCCATCGATAAGGTCTCCTTGGAAAACATTAATGTGAGCAAAAACATCATAGTTGTATTCAGAATTACTTCAAGTGCATTCCTTGATGCTCCCAATTTTAATAAGATGAGTGCAAATTGTATACACAACTATAAAGAGCAAAGGAGTATTATCAGTAAGTATAGATAAACCGAGTGCTTACAAAATTAGAGCGTACAAGTGGCTTTTTAAAGTTGTTACAGAAAAAGAAACTGGTCCCCTGATGTGGAAGCCTGTTTTCCTGGTTTACCCACTGTATAGGTGTAACAAGGACCTCGACATAGTTGTTGCCAATAATAAAATGCCCTGGCTATGGAACTAATTGCTTAATTTCTTTTAATTTGTGTGACTATGATTTTGATAGCATTTCACTCCCAACAATGAGAGCAAAATCATTTGCTGAATGACTTCTACAATCAATAACTCTGTGAAGTATTTTATATATATTTTATCCTCCCTACAGCTTTTTGAAGGAGACTTTGATTCTAGCTTCTCTGACAAAGATAAGGCATTTTAGAGGTTAAGAAATTTCCAATGGTCACAGGACCAGAGCAGAGTTGGGAGTCCAGGGCAGACATTTTGACACTTAAGCACTGGATCTTTTGTTCTTTTCTGTCCCTACAAGGTTTCTACCTTCCAGCTACCATTGGAAAAGTTGGAGGATATGAACTAGATATTCCCTTGGTCTAAAACAAAACAAAACTGCGAAATGAAATTGTTGGATAAGTCCTGACTTTAGATAAAGGTTTCTCAATGTAGTATCGCAAGCCCCTGATGCCCCTAAATCTGGGAAAGCTTCATTGTCCCACCAGAGGAAGTGGACGATCTCTCAGTGACGGGGCACAGGGATGAGGATTCTCACTACCAGTCTATCATGAAGTTGGTCACACTCTGTGAAGCTTTGTGTGCACCAGCACTGCTGGATAAGTACTAGGCTGGTATTTTAGCAAGTCAAGACGCAAAGAAGTGTTCAACCACAAGGCTAAGACTCAAGGGACAAAGACCAACAGAAATGGAAGTCAACACAGACTCCCCACAGGCATTCCTTAAGCGAATAACCTTGGATTCAGTCAGTGGCGAAGGAAATTTAAAAGACAAAATGAGGTGCTCTGTGGTCAGCGGAGGTGTTTAGGCAGAGAGCTAGCTAGCTACTGTGTTCTCTTCTGGACAGTTCGGTGTACTGTGGAACATTTTCTGGATACAGAGATCTATATAAGACTGAGTTTAAGAAAGATCAGCATGAAGTAAGTGGGAAAGGCTGAAAGGAGAAAGGAGAAAGGAGAATGGGGATGACCAGGACTTAAGTAGCTGGTTGAATTTTAATGAAACTCCTAGCAATGGAAAGAACAATAGTATCTCTGGCCAAGTCACTGACGTCAAAAGAAAAGCAACTATAGTAGAGTACTTGCTTTCTCCATGATAAAAATTATTATGGGTTTCAACCCAGTACTAAATGAAACATTTTTAAATGTGCAACTCTTGGTCTCCTCTTTTTGGAGACTGGATATAAAGCTGGATATAATACGTGTCACTTATATTTGTTTTGCAGTGAATTTTCTGAAGGCCCCAGAAAAGGTTTTCTAGGAACCAACTCATGAAAACCTTAGGATGCGTCGACTTTTAGTAACAATCTTATGCAATTCACTAAGTAGTTGTACCATGCTTTTTAGCTAGTGATATAGTGAAAACTAATGCATAAAAATTCAGGTTCAACGGTGGAAACACGACTGCCAATATGTGAGAATTCCATAAGAGACGGCTATCAGGACTTTTGTGACTAGGATAGTAACCCCCACTTTCATACGTGGTACAATGCTTTTTCTTTGTCCTGATCCAGCCTGCAGCAGCCTCGCCACTTCTTGAAGTACAACTGCAGTCTCCCACAGCCCTTTGCGGGTGATGTAGACCTTGATAATTCTTGCAATAAAAATCCAGCCATGTATGACATTTGGGAGGGAGGGAGTAAAGGGTTTAAATTGCCTTGGGGCGCTAGAACCATTATAAAGTTGGCTTTAATGAGAAATGGAAGACAAAGAAAATTAGGGGCTCAGATATTAAGTCAGATCAAAATGGGTACCAAATTACCAGGCATGGGGCTGCCTCTTAGTGGTTCTAGATAAAGAAAAAAAAAACACTTGATGTAGGTTTTCTCCAAGATTCAAAATTTACTTATCAATTTCAAGTAGAAAAAAATAAAGAAAATGGGATGCCACTTTAATACCTTCGTAGACGCTGACATGATGGACTCAGGGTGCCCTAAAAAAACCATCCCTTTTGCCACACTATGTTACAAACATACTTACACTTTCAAGAAAATTGGAGCATTCACTAGGCAGTCCATTAAAGCAAATCTGCTTCTCGCGCTGCACACAAGATCTATGCCAATGGAATACAATTCACTCACCTTGCTCTTCCGTTCGTTCACTCTCTTCCTTTACCTATGTTCTCTGCCCTATGAATGGAGTGGACTCTTTCCCTACAAGTTTTTCCCTGTGTCATGTAGATGCAGCCACTTTTCTTTCCAAGCCCCCTTCCTTGAATGTGAGCTAAAGAGCTGCCTCTCTCTCTCTCTCTCTCTCTCTCTCTCTCTCTCTCTCTCTCTCAGTCAGAGTTCTAAAGCAGTTATTAATAGAGGTATACACTAGCTGAGTGATGGCAACCGACGCTGTCATGCCGTGTATCAGGAGTCAGTGCAGTCTCACAGAAGCCTGCATAGATAGCCATGGGGCCTCCAGGAAAAGCCCTGGACCCAGCAAAGAAAGGAAACTGTTGTTAGGCCGGAAGAATTCCTGCAAATGTCGACAGAAAAGGCAGCTTGCAGTATGTTCTGCCAAGCTCAGTGCCCATGAGCACTTAGAAGGGCACCACACATACTTGCTGTGTGCGGTGAAGCCCTCCTTCAGAAGCCACCCATAGCATGTGACATTCGCTAGAAATTGAGGCGCTGCCCTGAGCAAGAAACTTCATCACCAGGAGATTGACATCCATACCTTATTGAAAGGATACTCTAGCCCAGAGCCCTGATTCTTTACCCTCCTTGAGCCTAGGATGGACCGGGGCACCTGCAAAACCATTCCCTGATGCCTGCATTCCACCCCATAGATTGCCAATTCACCAGTCTGGGGTGTGGCCTGCGCGATGGGATTTAAAAACCCTCTCCTGCATAGCTGAGGTGCAATCAGGCTCAAGAGTCCCTGATGGGCTTCTAGAGAAAGGCCACTTCTCCCACCTTGCTTTGTTGCAGAGTCACTGATTCCTGGAGTCCTAACCTCTCTTCATTTAAGGCCTGACAGCCAGAGCTGCGCTGTAAGTAGGAGGGCTAACTACAGAAAGACTTGAACTCCCCGACCCCTGTCACTGCTGCCTCTGCTGCCTCTCAGCTCTCTCTTCTGTCCCTCACTATATAGCCGCCCCTGACAGGGCACTCACCTACCTTTCTTGGCAAACAACAGGGCTACTATCAAGTTTTGCTTTAAAGGCCCAAACCTGCAACTCTGCTCAGAGTCTGTAGCAGCTTTTGAGCCTGCATCCCCAGGTGTATCTGATGGGCAGCCAGGTTTGGGTGTCACTGAGCTCCTCAGTGGGTCTAGCCCTTCATCCTGCCAAGTCATTAAGGATTTGTAAGGATGAATGAGCTGTCGTGAGAGCAAGGGCCTGCGGCAATGCTCCTTTATTAATTATGGAGAAGTGATGTATTGGCAATGGTATGGCTTCTCTTGGAAAGGACAATGAATGATTCGTCGATTGCTGCATTAGGTCTTTCCTGACTCAGTCTTAATGCTCAGTTTCTTACTCCTGTCTGTAGTTTAAAAGCAGCACAGCATTCATACTAAAGGGCCTCTTGGACTTTATTCCCACGGAAGCTGCAAGGTGTGAGCGAGGTAGCAACACCTTGAGTCTTTCTGAGATCTCCACTGGGAAACCCCTGTCCTCGTCCGTATTTGATCCGCAGCACCTCGTAGCTAGCATATAATTCTTCCTATCTCAATACGAAGGCGAAACACAGAGTAAGGATTAAAATAAAAATGGTGATACGTCGCCAGATTCCCTTTGCTAAAAAGAAAGCTTCCATTAGAAGAGGACTAGAATGTGGAGGAAGAAAGATGTATCTGGAGTAGCAAATTCGGGGGTAAGGAAGAAGTGGGCGAGTTGTATGGGGGGTGGGGGGCGTCAGGTTGTCTATGGATCAGTCTAGCAGGGTTCAAAAGAAAAGTTGCAGTAGCTCGTGTTTGCGCGTGTCTGTGTCTGGGTGCAGAAGGGAGCGCTGGCTTGCGCGGCGGGTACGCACTGCGGGGGGCCCCGCGGCGGGGGAATTCAGCCACTGGTGGAGCACAGGAGACCCGGTGGCTGCAAGGGCTGCCCGCTCGGCTCGTGTTCCCACAAGGCACCCGGGGGTGGCGCGCGGGGTCCAGCTAGGCAGGAGGCGGCGGGACCGGCGCGTGCGAGCCAGTGTGAGGCTGCGGGCTGGCGGGCGGGGTGCGCGGGAGGGAGGAGAGGGAGCGAGGGAGGGAGCGCAGCGCGCGCGCCGCCCGGCCCCGGCCCTCCCAGCCTGCCGGCCTCGCCGCCTCCCGCCCGCGCGCACCGCTGCCTGCCACCGCCGCCGCCGCCACCGCCGCCGTCGCTGCTCGAGCGGGCGCTGCTCCCGAGTCGAGCCGCCGCCGCCGCCACCACCGCCGCCGGCTTTGTGCTTCCAGCCGAGGATGGGAGCGACCTCTTCCTGAAAGCGAGCTGTCTCCAAAAGGGAGTGAGCGCGCCCGATTGCCCGGCGGCGTGCAGGGAATCCATCCACAAGGCTCAGCCCAGGTAAGGAGCTGGTCCCTGGTAGGCAGCGACATCGAGAAGGAAACTGCTCTCTTTGAGGTTCTCAAGGCAGCGATTCCTTTCGTTTAAGCCAAAGGGTCAGCTTCTTAATTGCTCGTGCGTGTGTGTGTGTGTGTGTGTGTGTGTGTGTGTGTGTGTCTGTATGTGTAAGCGCACGCCTGCAGATTTTCTGGGTGTCCGTGGTTCTCTGAGAGTGAAATTGCTCAGGCTGTTGGTGGTTTGGGGCGTGAGGGTCCCCGCCTGCCAGTGTAGATTGCCAGAGAAGAAAGGGCTGCTGGTAGGGGGGAGATGCTGCACCCTGGACAGTGCTGGGCTGCGAGGATTCCAGGGGCGAAGAGCTAAGTCCACCCAGAAATCAGGCAGCGCTGCTGGGAAGCCAGACACCTCCACCCACTGGGTTCCTCACACGGTCGGTCCCCCTTCCTCCTGGTAATTCCTGGGGTCTACCCCAAGGCTCCACTTGTGAGCCACCTCTCCTGGCGGACGTTGGGTGCTACTAGGCAGGACTGCAGAGGGGAGGGAGGTGTGGCTGGGTAGCCGAGAAAGAGGAGGGAGAAAAGCTGTGGGGAGTGGGCTGTAGGATTCCCGTGCACGGGCACGGTGTTGGGGATTCTGCATGCACTTACGTCTTTACCCCGAGATTCAAAGGGAACTTCACAGCTGCATCATTTAACACTGAGGCTGGGCTGGCCCTTGGGGAAATGGCCAGTGTTCTGAGATTCAAGGATCTCCTTCTTGGCTCCTCCTTCTCGAGGAAGAGGCAGGACAGTCCGCTAGAGAAACCAAATCCGTCCTGGAGACGCTTTAAAAAATACAACATATGTGCATGTTTGCCTCATTGTCCGCACCCCCCCCCCCATTCTGTCTCTGTCTGGTGAATGACTTGCTAGCAGTTCCTACTTCCCTCCCCAAATAAAGAGGAGGTGCTTGAGTTAAGAGCAGCTGTGATCCAATTTAACAAAGCATTTTCGGGAAGAGACCAACGTGTTTGTTATTTGTGATCACGGGCAGAAGAAAGTCATGCTTTTTGTGCTAGGAATGGCTTTAACCCCCCCTTAGCCTGGCTCCCTGGAAGACCCTCTCTGCTAGTCAGCCACTAGTGGTTGTGAATATAACAACACAAACTTTGTCCTGCTGGAGGTGTAAAGCCTAAAATGAGAAAAAAGGATATCAGTGGGAGGTGTAGTGGAAGAAGCTTTTCGAAAAATGACAGATGCGCTAAAGACAGTTCAGGCATCCTGGTCAGGGAGCCAGCCGCTGAGGGGGTGAAGATTTCTCATCAGATTTGCTTCAAGAGATTGTTTGAGGACCTCAGCTTGGAGAAGCAGAATGTTTACTACCTTAGATCTGCTGTCCTGCTGTGTGAAGGTTTCTCAAGGGGCATTGTGGGGGGGGCGTGGGAGGGGAATTCTGAAAGTATGTCCCACTAAAACACACACACACATGTACTCATACACAGAGAGAGAGAGAGACACAGACACACACACACATGTACTCACGCAGAGAGAGACACACACAGACACACACAGAAGTACTCACGCAGAGAGACACACACAGAGACACACACATGTACTAACACAGAGGCACACACAGAGACACACACAAATGTACTCACTCAGAGAGAGAGACACACACAGAGACACACACAAATGTACTCACTCAGAGAGAGAGACACACACAGAGACACACACACCACACACCTTCTCTCTAAGGCTCTTGGGGGAGGAGAATGAATCTAAAGTCTTCATTCATTTGCAACAAGAACACAAAGCCGGAAAAAGAATGACAGCTTAGGTTCCTCTTTCGAATTCCTGCCTTACTGGGATTTTGCTCTCTGGTTTTGTCAAACTTGCTTAATTTTGGAGGTTAGCTGGGTGTAGAAGGCAGGAGGAAGGAAGGCCTGCTCCATCCATCTTTAAGGTTTTGTGAGTGAGCGGGTGGGGGGAGGACCCACTGCTCTCAGTCAGGTGGGCTTTCTTCAGTCATTTTCATTCCACACTTTCTGCCTGCTTTGAGGGTTCCATTTGGATCTCAGAACTCTTTAACTAAGATCTCCCGTATAAAGACAATACCGATCTTTTCCTCCTTTTAAAATGGCTGTTGTGTTTTATTAAAAACAAGTGATTAGTTCCTAGAAAAAGAGAGAGGGAAAAACAAACAAGCGAACAAGAAAGCTGAACTGAGAGAAAGCAGTATTCACTGCTGAGCTGACCAGAGGTAGCATCAGGATGTGAGCATCTAGGGTGGTTATCTCAACTTGCCTTGAAAGCAAGCTGCTTAGCCTGGCTGGGGAGAGAGTGTTGGACTAAAGGCATTGGAAGGTAGTGCTTCATGGCCCCTGTCTATTTGTAGACCTTCCATCCTGTAACTAGAATGGTTTCTATGGCATCCATTTGGATTCAGATTAAGAGACAGACGGAATTCCTGTTGACCATGAAGGAGAAGGAGAGAGCATAGCAGTGCTGGTGCCCTAACGCCAGATGAAAACCGGAGGGGAAGGTGAGGAATCCCCTGAGGATGGATGTGCAGGATTTATAGATGTTGGCTCTTTCAAGCTCACTATGCTTTGAAACAATAAAATACATCAAGAAGAGCTTCAGCATTTGTTAGCAAGCTATATTTAACATGTTTTTTTATCAGACAAAAATAGACTTTTATTTATCTTGCAAAGTAAACGCATGGTTCCTTCCCTCTTAGTGCTTAATCTGTTTCTCTGACAAAATAAACGAGAAGGACTCTGGAGCCTCTAGAAATTGCTTTTCTCCTCTAAAAAGAGAAATGGGCAGCAAGGAACAAACACACGCGATGTAAAGAAAGTGTTTTGCGCCTGTTTGTGGTTGTCACATGTGTGGGGTAAGTCTTTTCTCCCGGGCACTCCAGGTAGAGGGAGGACAATATACAGAAAAGAAGCAGGTATAGGAATCAACAAGATTCCTGAAATGGTAGTTAACTCTATAGCAAGAAACATTTAGAGAAGATAATGTTATGTCAGGTTGCATGCCTCATGTTCTTCGGCTGTTGTATATGTTACTTTCAAGTAAAACAAAAATCTGATTTTGTTAAGCATTTAGTGGTCCAAATACTACTTTCTGTCACTTAGGGACATAAGTCTTTTGCTTAGCCATCATTCATTACTATCCATACTCCATGATTGGATCCTATAAACTCACAGTTAGACACCCCCTTTCTCTAGTAGGAACATTTACCCATCTGACCAAATTCTACTGCTCCCTCTTGTGGCAAGTATTCTCCCTGACTTTCTCTAGATCCCCAGATCTTCACTGCTCCCTTAGCTGTCTACCTCTCCAGTTCTAATTCTCAGCGGAGACTGAGAGTAAGCAGGCCAGTGGGTTACAGCACTAGCCGTTCCCACTTTTCCCTCTGTACAAAATGCTTTGGGCTCCCGGGGGATATCTCTTGGATTTAGTGGAAGTAGATGTCAGGTGTATTCTGACCCGTTGGGATAGACTAGACTCGGGAAATGTGAGCTTTCAGCTTTTGCCTTTGGGGATTTTTATATTTAAAGGCAAGACTCGTCCAGTGGGGCCTCATTAGATGCTGTAGGATTATTTTCCATTCTCTCTCTGACTTTCTCTTTCTTCCTCCCTCCCCCACTCCGTTTTTCCTCTTTCTGGCCTTCCCTCTCTTGTCCTTTCTCTACCTTTCTCTGTCTTTTTTTTTTCTTTGCTCCAGCCTCTAGCCTCTCACATGTACACGTATATGATGCTGAAACTTTAAAGAATCAAGGAGCAGGCTCTCAGTCTTTCTGCCATGCAACCCAGACAGCTCATCTTCTGGCTCAGAGACTTCTAGGGAAAGTGCTTACTGGTAGGCTTTCATCAAAGGGGTTCCGAAGACAAACGGGGAGCATCTTGACTCAGTAGTCCTTACCGCTGTCTTCCCTGCCAACTTTGTTTTGAACCTGGCTGCCTTATGCTCACGGTTGCAGCTGTCCTTTGGTCCTTTTAGTCCAGAGTGTAACCAGATAGATGAAGGTTCAAATGACACACATTTTGACTTTACTTCCTGCCCAGTTTTCAAAGAAGGGAGGGAGCATCCTGACTGACAAGTGAGGCAAGAAAAATGTTTCCGTGGCTGAGGGTCAATACCTCCTTTATAACAAGTTGCTTGAGTCTGGCCTAAACAGTCATAGGTTCTAAACCTTTATCCATTGGCCAACATAGGATCTGAGATCCTTAGAGTGAAAGTCATTCATTTGGGCGAAGGTATTCTTTCAGACAGACCCCTAACCAAATATAGAGGTACTGCCTGGCTGAGAGGTACTCTGTACGAATCCCTGCAGGGAATTATCATATGTTCATCTGTGAACCTGGAATGGTTTATACAATTAACTGACAGAAAGTCCTGAGATGCGGAAGGCAAAGAGCAAGTGAATGGGATTTAAAGCTGTGTTTCTGCCCAGGGAATGCCCCTCCAAAGACTGTTCTGATGGGCAAGTATGAGGAGTCCAGTGCCAGGGAGCAGAGCTTCTAACAAAGGTGTTGGTAGCTGGAGAATAGCTAGAAATAGGCAAACATGCATTCCCACACTAAGGGGCTACTCTTAAGCAGCCTTGGATCTTTTCTTGAAAGTTACCCTCTTTTTTTGTAAGGCTTCTGAGAAATGGGCCGAGTATTTTCTGCAGAGTAAATTGATGGTCTTCAAATCCTGAAGGTGCTATCTTGCACCATATGCAGCATTCCCTAGCCCTGAAGTGCTGTATGGTACCATCATCAGCGTCCCCACTGGTTACCTAGGTGATTGTAGCCTGATGCCAATTAGGGTAAATAGTCACCTGCACATTCAAGAGATGGAACATAGTATCAGGGGCCATCTTAAACTCAAAGGCAGAGTAATCACTTTGCAGATCTCACACAGCCATTGCAGGCAAAGTCACAAATAATAATTTCTTTGTTGACTCTAATGTGAGATCAAGTCAATCAGCAAGGCAGTGATTCAGCAGCTTACATAAATCCAACTAT